CGTGTAGTCCCCCCCCCCCCGCCCCCCGCTGCTGCCATTACAAACACGCTGCATCCTCCCACCGCTCAGCTGCTCTCCACTAACGTTCCCTTCAGACCAGCCGATGAACTCAGCTCTGGGTTTTTAAAGGTCCGTGCAGGGCGAGCTCTACGGTTTGCATCTTTAAGGACGTTGGCAGAAAACAGGATTCTGCGCTCGTTAACGCTCCGTTTACGCCATTTAACCGGGGGGGGGATGGGTATTGATCAGGGGAGAGGACGCTTCAGGGCAGATACATCCAAAAAGATGGAGAAGAGAGTGATGAACAGAACCAGAGTCAGATGAACTCGGTGGTTTGTTTCCCGTCAGTTCACACAGACATGTGAGCAAAGCAAAGGTCAAGCAAAGGTCAAGGGCAGCGGCGGGCCTGAGCGAGGCAGAGTGGAATTATGGGTCGTACTTCCAGTTATCACGATCGATCCCTCATGCTGATGCTTTCTGCGTGCATGAAGCAGCCCCCCCCTCTCCTTTTCATTATGGTTTATAAACACAAATCTGCTAAACGCTTTGACTTTAAACTCTATCCAGAATTAAAAAATAACACTTAACATGTTCAATGCACAATCTGACATAAATTTAATCACAAACGGAAACACAGCCACGTCAGAAATGTTAGAGAATGCTGCCCTCTGGTGTCACTTCTTATAAATGCAGCGCAACACCTTTTATTAGAAGCGATGACGTAACATGTTTTTTGTTTGTTTCAGGTTATGGACACGTTATCCAAACTTTCCCACACAAGTCTCGCACTACAGACAGGAATCAGGTGTGTTGACGTGACCCATGAAATGTCTGTAACAGAAGGTTCTGAGAACTAAGTAGGAAAACAGTCCGTCCTGCTTCAGTTGGGTTTTTACAGATCAGAACCTAAAGAGAACAGAAGCACCAACAGATTGTGAGTGGAGAACTGGTTCCAGGGTCTCAGAGGTTCAGGATCAACCAGGAGCATCATCAGTGGGACCACCTCGAGAAAAGCAGCAGTTTTTGCTGCGCCGGAGCACACAGCACCAAGGTGGAAAGACATCAGCAATGAGTCCAAGGGAAGCAGTTATTCCTGCCCATCTATCTGAGAAGGGTCAAAGGTCAATTCCAAACTATTTGGAGTTCATCATTTTACAGAGAGAAAGATTATTCACAAGTGGAAAACATTTAAGACAGCTCCTAGGAAATGCCCCCCGAAGGTTAGACTGTGCAGTGCTCAGAGGACTGAGGTCCAGCTCGGACTCTACAGGCCTCAGTTAGCAGGATGAAGGTCAAAGGTCATGGCTTGTTTTAAAGGGTCCCAGCAGAAAGTCCCTTCTCTCTACAAACAACATGGCAGCTTGACTTATGTTTGTAAAGTTTCATGTGAAGCAACCACAAGATGTTTGAGACAAAATTTACCCAGAATGCACTGCAGCAAAAACCTCACACCAGCAGCCATGGTGGTGGAGGGCTGATGATCTGGGCTTTGTGCAGTCACTGAGTGGACCACAAACTCCTCGTTCTAGAGTCCAACAGCTGAAGACTGGACCAAACTGGGTCCAACAGGACAATGATCCCAAACACAGCAACTACTCTACAATGGAACGGGCCAAAAAGAAAAGAACTAAGGTGCTGCTATGGTCCAGTTACAGTCCAGAACCTTTACCTGACTGAAATGCTTTGGTGGGACCTTAAGAGAGCCGAGCAGAAACCTCACCGAACAGAACAATGGAAAGAAGAGTGGGACAAAACTCCTCTACAATCATGTTAGAGTCTTATGCCGAAAAGTACTTCTGGGAGTTTTGGTTGCTATAGGAGGTTCTAGTTCCAGGATCAGGGGCAAGGTCCAGTTTTTGTTCCATAGATAATGACTCAGTGAAACTTGTGGTTTTGTGCCTTTGAGATTTACATAACTATAAAACCCATAAAGACCAGCAGTGGTGGAGACAGCTAACCAAAAATTTTGCTTCGCTAACTCATATTCCGCAAAACAAAAAAAATTAACTTTGCTAATGCTAAACCGCTAAACATGTAAAAAAAAAAAGAGCAGAAGTTAATGCTAAACTCCTGACCGCCAAGGCGACTGTCGCTCAGTTTGCGTCACACGTCTTTGTCTCCTTCCAGTTGAAGCTGCGTCGACCAATCGCGTCTTGTCACGTGTTCACGTAGTAAGCCAATAACGTGCCTTTAGCTATTGCTGCGTCAACCAATCACGTCTCGTCACGTTTACGTAGTAAGCCAATAACGTGCCTTTAGCTATTGCTGCGTCGACCAATCACGTCTCGTCACATGTTTACGTAGTAAGCCAATAACGTACCTTTAGCTATTGCTGCGTCGACCAATCGCGTCTTGTCACATGTTCACATAGTAAGCCAATAATGTGCCTTTAGCTATTGCTGCGTCAACCAATCACGTCTCGTCACGTTTACGTAGTAAGCCAATAACATGCCTTTAGCTATTGCTGCGTCGACCAATCACGTCTCGTCACATATTCACGTAGTAAGCCAATAATGTGCCTTTAGCTATTGCTGCGTCAACCAATCACGTCTCGTCACGTTTACGTAGTAAGCCAATAACACGCCTTTAGCTATTGCTGCGTCGACCAATCACGTCTCGTCACATATTCACGTAGTAAGCCAATAACGCGCCTTTAGCTATTGCTGCGTCGACCAATCACGCCTCGTCACGTGTTCACGTAGTAAGCCAATAACACGCCTTTAGCTATTGCTGCGTCGACCAATCACGTCTTGTCACATGTTCACGTAGTAAGCCAATAACACGCCTTTAGCTATTGCTGCGTCGACCAATCACGCCTCGTCACGTGTTCACGTAGTAAGCCAATAACACGCCTTTAGCTATTGCTGCGTCGACCAATCACGCCTTGTCACGTGTTCATATTGTAAGCCAATAACGCGCCTTTAGCTATTGCTTCGTCGACCAATCACGTCTTGTCACGTGTTCACATTGTAAGCCAGTAGCGTGCCTTGCGCACTCTTTGAGGCACGCCCACATCAAACAGGAACAGGCTTCTGAGTTTTGTTAGCAGACTTAAAGTTGGCAAAACTTAATTTAGCGGAAACTAATTCCGCTTACGTTTTACGAAGTTAACCAAAATGCTGATCCACTTAATAAAAATTAATTGGCTGCTAGTGGAACTGTGCCCACCACTCTAGACAAGATTAATTTAATTACATCCTGATACACAAACCCTAGAAATGAAAGGACAACTTTCTTTTTCCCATGACTGCAAGTCTTCTGATCTGTCTGATTTCTTCTCAGGCCTTTTCCTACCGAGGAGAGCGTAGAAGATGAGGACATCTACAACCACCTGGAGGACCTAATAGAGTACGTTTCTCCTCTTTTTCCACAAACATTCGCTAAAAGATTTCCAGTTTTTTGGTTAAACATCCATTTGTTGGTTCCTAGAAACTCACAGAGACGATTAACAGAAAGTCTTTAGTTAATTTAGTCTCCAGTTTTCTTACAAATGAACTGGATGTGATTGAGGGACCATTTGTTCCCTGGGTGTGGACTGGAAGGCAGCCACCTCTTAATGTCTCCCAGTAGGAGCTCACCCCACACTTTCTCAGCTAACCACAAGTTGTGTGGGATTGTGCTTTAATCATTTGCTTTTTCAGTCGCTGTTCGATCCAAACTTCTGAAAGTTTTGCAGATTTATCAGTTGCAAATGAAACAGAAGCCAATTTCTGTGGATTTATTAATTACTCTGACCTCTATTTAACCAGGTTTGTTAGTTGAGAAGAAACTGTCAGTTACAATGACGGCCTGGCCAAGAGGCAGCAAATACAGCAGTCGGACAACATATAAACAACGGACAGTCAAACATCAAACTGTACAGACCATGTGAGATGATAAAGAGCTGGCACATGCTACAAGAGAGCAACAACAGAGATCGAGGAGGAAATTGCTAAAAGGATGTGCAGCGGTCAACAAATGATGCCTTCACTGAGATTTTAAACAATGCAAATGGGACAAAAGTAGTCAGTCTGAGTTTTTTATAGATGGTTCCAGTCGTTAGCAGCAGATAAATGAAATGGTGAACGACCAAATGAGGCGCGTGCTTTAAGGATAGACAGGGTAGCTGCTGGAGCAGAGGGTCCACATGTTGCTACAGATACTGAGTAACAGACAGAGGTAGGATGGGGTTTTACCAGTTAGTTTTGCAGATCAGCAGAAACCAGTTTGTCTGTGGGAGTGAAGAGAGGGCCAGTTCACCAGGGAATACATACAAGTGCTGAGATATTTACGGGTTTTGGAACGCCTTGGAAAGTTGAGTGTTTGTTATCCAAAAAGACTAAATACTCATAAAACACGAACGACTCATCCCTCACTGCAAACAGTAAGCACATCCATTTTCTGCTCGTCTGGGGGGGGGGGCGCTCTGGAGGGAAACAGAGACCCTCACCCTGTCTCAAAGGTTGACCCTATGAAGGGATCCACTTGGATTTGAGATCTTCCCGAGTGGTTTAAAAGGCACCTAAACTTGAGCCGGGAAGTCCCAACTTACGACGACTGGTCACTGATTAAAGACTTTTGGATCATCGTGTCCCGATTACTAAACATCTACCAACCATTCTGAGATCTTCTTTCTGTTTTGATTTGTACCTCATGACCTCTGGTGAAGGTTGAATATTAGATGGACCTGTAATCTGAGAGCTCAGCTCGTTTTTCACCACCATAGACTGGGGCAACTCCCTCATTAACGCAAAGCCTCGGCCCATAGGTCCAAACTAGCCTTTTGCTACTTTTAGCTTCTCGCTTGCCTTTTGATACATCTATGCAGATTTGCCATTGGTAAGTGAGGCTCCACTCGGTTCTTCTCAGAAGAGATGATTTGCCGCTACAGTGGAGACTGACCTGTTTCACTGCTCTGTGGGCGGGATCATCAAAACAAAGTGGGCGGGATCATTGATGCAAAGTGGGCGGGGTCATTGATACATAGTGGGCAGGATCAGTGATGCAAAGTGGGCGGGGTCATTAATGCAAAGAGGATCGTAACTGGCCTTTTTTGTGTTTGAGTCACTCCACCCATTGTGGTTCTTAATCGCCCTACAATCAGACTTCAGTTTCTTTAGCTCATCTCTTTACTGCCTAGAAGTCTGGATGTAGTCATGGTGTGCCATCATCTCGGATATCTCTCAGTAAATGTGCTCCTTTCTTGTGGATGCCAGACTTTACTTGTTACATTTGTCTATCCTTTGGCTAAAATTAGCTTTTAGACAACCTTTTGCTATTTTAGCTGCTAGCTGGCTTTTTGCTACTTTCAGCTACTGCTTCGCTTCTTTTAGTTTTTAGATACCATTTGCTACTTTTATCTAACCTTTTGCTATTTTAGCATCTAGCTAGCATTTAGCCATTTTAGCTAGCTTTTGCTACTTTTCGATACATTTCTGCTACTTGTAGCCTTCACCTGGCATTTTGCTACTTGATGCTCAGCTACTGCTCTGCTACTTTTAGTCTGATAACATTTAGCTACTTTTAGCTTTTTGCCATCCTTTTGATGTAGCTTTCAGTCAACCTTTTACTAATTTAGTTTCCATCTAGCCTTTTGCTACTTTTAACTTTTAGTTATCATTTTGCTGCTTTTAGCTAGTGTTTTGTTATTAGTAGTTTGTAATTTGCTACTTTTGTTTCTTTGCATATTTTGGTTTTAACATCTAAACTTCAGCTTCTGCAGTAAATCTGAGTGAAGTCATTCAGCAGCTTCACTATTTCCACACAAACAGCTAAATCTCCAGTTATTACCCACGTCCCAGTTTATTTGCTGTCCTGGTAAACATGCAGCCTTTCGGCTGTCGGTCCTTTGAATGATCTCCATGTTTTGTGGATTTTGATTTAATGAAACAGCAGAATTATTCTGAATCCCATCATGTCGGCCTCCACGCTGCGCTGCAGACTTCAGTCTGAGCCGAAACATGAAAGCTTCTCGTCTCCCCGAGCCTCTTTCACGCTCGTGGATTGTGCTCAGCTAACGAGATTTAACACAAAGCAATAAAAGGCAAGTTACTGAAAGCAGAACGGTGACATCATGTGACGACAGTAACACGCTCTGTCCCGTGTGCCGCAGCGAGAACCTGGTGGAGGATGAGGAGGATCTTTACGACTGCGTCTACGATGACGAGGAAGGTGGAGAGATCTACGAGGACCTGATGAAGACCGAAGTCGTCCCTCCTCCGGTGCGTGAGACTTGAAAACAGAGACAGACGGTGACACCGTTACAGCTCTCAGCTGGACTTTTAATACATTCTGTTAACTTTTTGCCTTTTTTCTCTTTTAGACTAACTTTTGGTACTTTTAGCTTTTAGCTAGCCTTTAATTACTTTTAGTTTATAGCTAGCAT